TGACGAGGTCAAATGGTCACAAACTACTTCAAGATCGTTTCAGGCTGGACAAAAGGAAGAACTTCTTTACTGTCCGAGCCCCCAAGGTCTGGAACAGCCTGCCACCGGAGGTGGTTCAATCGCCTTCATTGAACACCTTGAAGATGAAACTGGATGCTTATCTTGCTGGGATCCTATGACCCCAGCTGACTTCCTGCCCTTTGGGCGGGGGGCTGGACTTGATGATCTTCCAAGGTCCCTTCCAGCCCTGATGTCTATGAAATCTATGAAATTGGAATATCACTTCCTGGTACTAGTAGAATTCAGGGAAAATTTTTAGCAGGATTGTTAAGCAGAGTGGGTAAAGGTAACATTTATGCTGCTTCCTGAGGACAGGTAATTCAACATGGCAGTTCAGCTAAGTTCTACATCACTCTTAAACCTCTACAAAGTGTTAGGCACCTATGAGAAAGGGAGAGATGGGAATCATCATTGTGTTAGATAAGACTGCAAGGATTTGCACTGCTGTGCACTGCTGGTCTGGGAGCTGCTCTTGTAGTGACTTGTCTGGCAACTCTCACTGCTGCTCCTGCTGCTGGTCCAGGAAGGCGTGGGGTGGGGGGCATGTGCCCCCCCCCCCCCGCCCCCAATCCTCCTTGTAGCAATACTTAATCTCCTGCCCCGGCCCTGTTTGGTTATCTGTTTTGACTGGGAAGGAAATGAAAGTCCCGGCACACTGGACGCAGGGGAAGGAGTGGCGGCTGGAATTTCCGGCCGGAACAGGTAACTAAACATCCAGCCCACAGGGCGGGTGGGCAGGTTACACAACAAATGTACCCTGTGTCCCCCTTCCAGCCTCCCTCCCACCTCGTCCCTGTCTCCGTCGGTCTGCCACTGGCAAGTGGGGGTGGGGAGGCATGTGCCTCTGGATCAGGGCAGAGCAGGAGCTGCAGTGAGTTGTTTTTTGGGGGGCACATCCCCCCCCCCCATACCCTACCACCGTTTGCCCAGCTGGGGCGAAGCCACTGCTTGTCTGGGTGGCGTGGGGAGGCTGGGCTGGCTCCCACCACCACATGCTGCTTGTCTGGAGGCAGCGCAGCAGCTCAGTCTTGCACTGTCTCTGTGCCGGCTGGGCGAGTGGTGGGGGCTGCACAGCACCTTCCGCCCAGAGCGCAGCCTGGTGCAGCCCCAGCCCTGCCTACCCTGCACAGATCCTGGGACACACCCACCCGCCCCATGCCCCCTGGACCGGTGGCGGGAGAAGTGGCGAGAGTTGCCAGACAAGCCGCCATATGAGCAACTCCCGGACTGGTGGCGTGCAGCATCGCTTGCCCCAGCCTGGGTCCCAGTCCCAACCCCAACTCCTCCCTTGCTGTGGGGGCCTTGATCTACCCCCTCACACCCCTTCTCTCCCCCTTCCCTCCCACCACAACAGAGTTACCAGCTGGACGCAGCTGTCCATCGTTGTAAAGGTGAAACCGGCATGGGAACCTCGAAACAGCGTGTCACTTTACAAATGTCGTAAATGCTGTTTGTTGTATAAGTTGAGGACTGCCTGTAGCAGCTTGTATTGGCCTTTGGTCCTGCAAACACTGTATGTGTATGTTTAACTGAGTATGTGAGTAGTTCCACTCAGGTCAATACAGCTACTCATGATTAAAGCTAGTTAATAAGAACTTAGCACATGCATAAGTATTTACAGGGTAAGGACCTTATTTTTGGACCTTATTGAGTATATTTTCATGATGGCTGAAATTTTCTGCCCCTGTGTTTATTACTTCTGCTCAAACTCTCACCCACTGCATAGTGGTAGTGAAGTTCTTCAAAAACCAACAATACCACAAAGTCTATTTTCAGTGCCACTGTAGAATTTTATGCTAAAAAATCCAGATGCCTCATTTTTTTTTTTTTAACCTAGCCTACATGTTTTTAAAGGGTGTGCTGCTTTCTTGGACAAAACACTTCAAGGCACGAGGAGTTCAGGAGACGGATGTGGTCAGTTCTCTGCGCAACGCCCTCAGGAAACATAAGGCAAGCTTTAGAGTGAAGAGATCTTAAGGATATCTTGACAGAATCTTTCCCCTGTTTTTGGAGGATATACAATACTGCATATAATATTTTTATATGTTTTAATATATTTTTACACTTCTTTAAATGATATTTTGTTTCTAGTGCTGGACTTTGGAGTGCTTCCAGCAGAAGTTATTAGTCACAGAATGATTTATTATATTTTAAAATTTGGGATGAAATATAATGAAAGCTATTCTTAAATTAAGCAGACAAGGTTCTTTGGGTAAATCTGATATCTTTTATTAGACCAACTCAAATTGAAAAATTCTTCTTTGCATTCTTAAATTAATATGCTTTTATTGATATTCAGTAGTTCCATTTAAAAAATCCCAAGCATTTTAATATTCTTCATCCCTAGTAACATCAGCTTAAAAATGTGAAAGTATCTGTCCATATATTGACATCCTTATAGAAAAACTATATTTTCCTGTTTCTAACATGGCAAAACTCTGCTTTTTGTTAATTTCTCAATGCATCCCTGCTATACTAAGGTTTGCAAGAGCAGTGCATAGGCCTAGAAGGGACCTCCTGGGTTATCAAGTCTGGCCTCTTACTATAAAGGACAACTCTGTCATGTAACCCTTTCAGAATATGGTAATAAGTTTATGAAATGGATCTGCACAGCTTTGACAGAAATGTTTTCTGGGCCTGATTCTGGTATATTTATGTTGAATAGCTTTTTACACCTGCAAATTCTCCAGATTTCAATGGGGATACTTGTGGGATAAGGTGCTCCTTATTGTAGCTATGGCTTTCAGAATATGCTTCTTAAAATCTTGCCTACAGATATTTTGTGCTATCATAAAAAGTTACACTTTTGTGGGTTTTTAAAAATTTCTTGGTGAAGGAATGATGAATTTGGGGGGGGGGGGGGGGGAGGGCTCAAAACATTCAAACTTCTAGCCCTGATTCAGTAAAGCACTGATATCATAAAGATCAACCTCATTAAGTAAACACTTAAATCCTATTGAAGTAAATTAATGTAAAGTACTATGCTGAAAAGTAGTATAAATTTATGAAACAAATTATCTGAAAGGAACTTGCACAGCTAAGTTTAAAATTGAACATATGTGAAAGTGCTTCACTGAACCTGGGCCCTCTAAAAGTTAATGTTGTTTGAACAGTTGCTTAATTATGAATCTGTTTTCAAACATGGTTTCTATAAAGCATCTATTTTTACTCCATTAGGATGTTCATGCAGATGTTTTGGCACTGGTAAATGACACGGTGGGAACTATGATGACCTGTGGATATGATGATCAGCGCTGTGAAGTTGGTGTCATAATTGGTAATATTTTTTAAAGTTACAAGGTTTTGCTTTAAATTGCAACAGTGTATTTAGTTTGGGCTCATCTTGGGTGGAAAGAAGCTCATTTCAGACTTCATAAATCAAAAAGATAAGTGAGAAAATGAAAAAAGTACCATATTTTCAAGCACTGGTGCCTTGTTTTTGGGGAGCAAAGTGGAACTTGAATGTCTAAGTGACACTAATTGCATCTGCAAAAATTGCAAATGCAAAAATAGTGGTTTGTTTAAGGCTAGATTGATAATTTTAGTCCCAAATCAATTAAATGACTGTTGACTTTGTTTATCTGATTTACACTTAAAAAAAATAAAGCTACTTGTCAAGTGTTATTTCACTTAGGATCTTTACAGACTTTGCTGCATGAATGTGTGTCTTATTTGTGGTTGGTTCCTGCCTGTCCTTTCCTTGTTTGTCCTGTTTTCCCTTCTTTCTCTATTGATTTTTTTAAAAATTAATTCACTACATACTAAAATTTCATTTGGATATGTTTTGAGGGTGTTGGTTATAACTGTGTTGGTCTAAGGACATAGACGAGCCTATAAACTTCACTTCATAAATCTACTTTGATACAAAAAAAATCATGAACTAAATACAGACATTGGATTAACCCCAGGTAAACTCTCTACATTTTAGCAGCTACATTCTACTACTAAGTCAACATTCCCTTTTCCCACATCACCCACCTGTCTCTCACCTATTGTCTCCCATCCCCTCTGATCCTCGCTGCCAATCATTTGCATTTTCACAGACTTGCATTTTTCATATTGGTTTCTATTCCATCCAGAAGAGCACACAAACACCAGCAGATTCTTGCCATACCTGAAAAAGGGTGTTTGCCTGAAGCTTGCAAACAACAATTTTTCCAGCTATTTAGTTGGTCTAATAAAAGATACCACATTTACCCAAAGAACCTTGTCTGCCATTTGGATATGCATATATTTAGCTCTGTTAAAAATAAATAAATAAAGGACACAACCATCTATTATTATAGATTTACATTTGGATACCAAAGGTAAGTATTTCAAAAGCAGTCACAGGGGGTTAAGTTCATTGCTATAAATATCAATGGAAAGTTTATCATTGCAGTAATTTCTTCAAGAGCAAACTTAAGTGAAATGCAGCTTTCATTTCTACAAACTTGATATTTATATGTTTTAATTATTGTAACTGAAGTAAATTCTTATTTATTTCCAACATTTCATACTTCAGGAAATAACCAAATGAAAGAGGCAGTGTATTTTTGAAACTGTATTTAGAAGGTAATATTATGAAGCTGAATTGTACATAGATCCTTAAAATAGCTTTAATATTCCAGATCAGAAATACCAGATAACTGTCTATTGAGTGCAAGATGCTTCTATTTATTTTTGCCGAACTTTCATGAAAGGCACACAGGGCCTGGTCCTTAGTAGTTACTGAGCACCTGCAGTTCTCTGTATAAGAAATATATTGAATAGCCTTCCTTATTAGCTATTTGGAAAAGTGGCATTGTATATAATTTCTACAGTGAGGGAGCAATGGGTGCATAATTGTAAAGCATCTTCCACCTTGATTTATACTCAGAGTTATCAGATGGAGATGATGGCTGGATCCAGTTGTACAGGCACATGTGGTTTGTGATACTGCAGATTTGCTGCTTGAGGCCAGTGCTTGCTTCTGGGAAATTCTGGTAGCAAAAGCATCATGCCAAAAAGTGGTGCGGTGCATGCTTCAGGAGCATGTGCCAGTAGGCACAGAGGCTCGGTCCTCCTGGGAGATGCTCTGGCTGCTGGCCAGAGTGTCTCCCCTCTTCTAGCTCTCTGGTTCCTCCAGCATGTGGGGAGCTGGGAGGAGTGGCAAAATAGCAGTTTCCCTAAAGTGGGGCATTTTGCCCTACAGCAAAGCCCATGTGCAGTGGCATGGGCAGCAGCAAAAAGCAGAGGCACAAATTTGTGCCGCTGCTATTTTTGCTGCAGTAAACGTGCACCCCTGCACATGCATGCTCATTTGGATGCACCCAATATGTTGAAATCCAATTCTTTTAAATATTCTGGCCAACAAAATAAACTCTTGTATCAATGATATAGAAGATCCATGTTGTTTATCCAGAAAAAGCAAACATTCTTTTATCTCTGGCAGCCAGAATGCTATACCCTCCCTATGACAAATCTGCTTCACTTTTTTCCCTGGTTTTTTTGACGCACGCACATATGAGTGTGTACAAAATATCACAAGTATCTTTAAATGACTCCGGCCTTATATTAATTTCTGATGGTTTTTCTTTGGTACTGAAAGGTTATTTAACAGGTTGCAGGTGCACATGGGCTTACAGAAAGCACTATGTAACTAACCACAGATACTTTTTCTGGTAAAGAAAATATTGAATCCAATCCTAAAATCTATTTTTAGTAGAGGTGCACCAATACCTTGGTCCAACATCAGATTGGCACTGATAAATAAATTTGACTGTATTGGAAATTGACCTGATGTGGCCAATAAATGCCCTGTGCATGTGTGCAGCCGCAGCTCAGTGTGTAGGTAGCGAGGACCACAGCTCAGCAGCTTGGAGAGCTGTGTGCAGCTGGTAAGTCTGTTGTGGTGCAAGGGGAGGCAGGAGGGAAGGGGAGTAGGGGGACAGATCAAGGTCCCCACAGTGAGGAAGGGAATGGGGCTGGGGCAGGCAATGCACAGCCGGGGCAGGCCACAGAATGGAGCTGCGGTTTGTCTGGGGGGCATGGGGAGGAGAGACGGCTCCTACCACTGTACACACCCCTGGAGGGAACTGGGGGGGTGGGCAGGGCGCGTGCTTCCGGATCTGTGTGGGGCGGGGTGACCTGTTGTTGCAGGCTGTGCTGGGTTCTTCCTGAAGCGTGTGGGGAGGGTTGTGCCAGGGCTGCGCTAGGGGTGGGTGGCGGTGGTGTTGGGAGGATTATGGGGGGGCTGCAGCCACCCCAAAATTCACTAGAGCCCCCCCTTCCAGTCACTGCTGCCTGTCCTGAGTGCAGCCCTGTCCTAACTGCCCCCCCCGCCAGCAAGAGCCTGGTGCATCCCCAGCTCTAGCCCTCAGTGGCAGCCCACCCTGCCCCGCCCCATGCAGATGTGGGGGCACACGCCCCTCCTGCCCTGTGCCCTCTTGGGGTGCGTGCAGTGGTGGGAGCTACCTCTCCCTCCCTGAGGCCCCCAAATGAGCCGCCACTCTGTCCCACGCCCCACCCCACCCAGGCTGGGCAGTACCTGCTCCAGCCCCAGCCTCACTCCCTCCCTCACTGCAGGGGCCTTGATCTGCCCCCACCCACCCCCTTTCACCAAAACAGACTTACCAGTTGGACATTGCTCTTCAAGCTGCCAGGCTGCGTATCAGAAATTGGATCAGTATTGGCCGATTTGTCTCTTCAAAAATTGGCTATCAGTATCAGCTCCAAAAATGTCTATTGGTGCAACCGTAATTTTTAGTGAATTCCTCATGTGTAAGTGTGCTTGTTTCTTTCCATACTGCATCTCATACACTAAGGAACTGGCACCAATGCCTGCTACATGGAAGAAATGAGTCACATTGATCTGGTGGAAGGTGATGAGGGGAGGATGTGCATTAACACCGAGTGGGGAGCCTTTGGAGATGACGGGTCATTAGAAGACATCAGAACTGAGTTTGACAGGGAAATTGACTTGGGATCTATCAATCCTGGAAAACAGCTGTAAGTATTTAAGTGAGGCTTTCTACAGCATTGTTATTCTGTATCTCTTTAAAGAAAATGCAGAGTCATACAAGCCTTTTTCAATAGACATAAGCCTAGGCAGGGGCGGGCAATTATTTTGGCTGGAGGGCCACATAATGAATTTTGGTGAAATGTCAAGGGCCACAAGGGTAGCCCGGCCCCTTGACAGATGTCCTGCCCCCTGGTTGCCATCTTGGGATCAGAAGTCCTGCCTCCTAACCCTTGACCTTTGCCACCGAAAGTCCCTCCCCTTGCCCCCAGAAGTAATCCTTTTGGGAGGGTGACTGGGGCGGATGTGGGGTGTGCATGTGGGGGTGTAAGTGTGCGTGTGGTGGGGTGTGTGCATGTAACAGTGAGTGAGGCTCCCCCCAGAGGCATTTGGATGCATGTGTGGGGAGGGGTATGGAGTTTGTGGGGGGATGTTTATGGGGTGTTTGATTATGCTTGTGGGGTTTGCAGGGGAGGGTTTACGGGTATGGTGGGGTATGCATGGGTGCCCCCTGAGCCTGCCCCCCTGAGCTGGTCAGCACCCGCTCCTGCCCTGCACTTATGCATCCTGTGGTGCCTCCCTGCCACTGCCAACAGTGTGCCACCCCAGCCCCATCCCAGGCCCATTCCAGATTCACCCCAATGGAAGCAAAGCAGCCAAAATCCATGCATGCAGCTCTGCCCCCAGCCTGTCCCATACCTGCTCCGCACCCTGGGCACACAGTGGGGCTGGAGTGGTTCCATGGCTGGACTGCCTTCCTAGGCAGCCCAGGCAGCAATGGCTCCTTCCTGCTGCTGCTGCCACTAGTCCCAGCTTCACAGGCCCACCCCACATCTGCTCCACACTGGCCTGTGCTGAGCAGCAGTGGCGGCCAGGCAGAAACTATTGCTCAGCGCAGGGGAAAAGCCGCCGTTCCTCACCACTGCTGGGCCTTTCTTGCTGTAGCTGTCCAGAGCCTGCGTTGGGCTGCCCTGCATCTGCTGTGTGCTGCCACTGCTGCCCTGTTGGGCAGCCTGGTGACAGTGGTGAAGATGCAAGGCAGCCCAGCGTAGGCACAGGGCGGGTTGGGTCAGGCCTATGTGTGCAGGTCCCCACTGGTACCGCAGGGTGGGGCCAGCAGTGGCAACAGCCAGAAGGAGCCACTGCTGCCTGGGCTGTTTACAAAGACAGTTCAGCTGCAGAGCTGCCCCGGCCCCGCTGCATGCCCAGGGGGTGGCAGACTGTGCCTGGACCAGGTGGGACCAAGGACCTGCTGTGGGCCAGACAAAGACCCTCCGTGAGCCATATCCAGGCCAGGGGCTATATTTTGCCCACTCCTGAGTTAAGGAAACTAACTGCAATAGAAGCTGGCTTGAAGCTCCTTCCATTTATATCCAAACCTGTTCTAGTTACAATCCACCTACCATTATATGTAGGCATCTCTTAAACAACTGTTTTATACCGCTGAAGTAGCCTGCACTTGCTGTGGAATCCAGAATGCATAGGGTGACTAGGAAGCCACAGCCCTCATGCTTTCTGCATCACTTTTCATAATTTCCTCTTGTCTTTCAGTTGGGAGGATACTATTAGAAATTTTGGCAAAGTTTGGCCCTACTGAAGTTATTTGGAGTTTTGCTATGACTTTAGTGGAGTCAGGATTTCACCTTCTGTTCCTAGAAAGCAATTGGTGATTCTTTATTATTACTAGATGGTAATTATGTTTTTGTGTTGTGATGGGGTGAGTGAGGAAGTGTGATTGCTTGGCTTATTTTTTTTCTTTATGCATAGATTTAGCTGGTGTCCTCAAATCACTTGAGTGTTAATAGGATGCCTCCAGAATAGGACATGGGGATAGCTTCTTTGGTGTGAAGTAATTAGGAATATTAGCTGAGACTATTGACTTGGTTTAATGTGCTTATTCACTGTAATTCACATGGGAGCCCTGGCATGTCAATTGCTGAGAACTGCTTCTCTATTTCACAGTACCCCATAAAGTATTCACTGTATATCATCCTATGTAGACTTAAGAAAGTATCCAGTCCACACAAATGAAATCTGTATTCAAACTGAATCTTGGTACTCTCCTTTCTAAGCAGTGTAATATTGTTTCAGAAACACCTACTTCATCATAATGTCACAGCCAGAAAATTCATGTCCGATTTTTAACTTCTTATTCCTGTTTTTACATAAGCTTAAATAATTTTTACCTATTTTACATATATAGCCTATTTAAAATATACAGTGATCTGTAGAAACAATCATTCACTTTTGTACTAGGCTATTTTTGTAACCATTGCTTGTATTCAATAACAGGTTTGAGAAGATGATTAGTGGTTTGTATTTAGGAGAACTTGTAAGACTCATCCTTCTAAAAATGGCAAAGGAAGGATTACTCTTCAATGGCGAGATAGCCACTGCTCTCCGCACCAAAGGCAAGATTGAGACAAAACATGTAGCTGCTATGGAAAAGTATGAGCTTTTATATATTCTTTATTAAACACCTTGAGACTTTACTTAAGGACAACTAGATTTCCTTTATTACAGTATAATCAATAAGGGTTTGAAATTGATTGTTGTTGATCCTAGGCTATTAATCTTTTCCCCCTCGAAATAAATTTAACAATAGAATAATAGGAGAATACAACAGACCAAATTGGTTTATTTCATTGGTAACAGTAAATGGCAGGTGTTAAGCTAACATTTTAACAAAGTAATGCAACAACAAATGCATTCCACTATTTAAATTCATTATATTTATTGTGCATCACAAATAAACCTGACCATGCATGTGGATTTGTAGGGTTGTTTTCAAGTGTTTCAGAAAAGTGGCAGACTTTACTTGTGTGTGGATTATATTAAGCATGGTAAAGGCCATTGTGTATCTGCACACAGACAACATCACTGAGGACTCTGTTGTATTGGAAAACACTGGCTCAGCAGTGGTCCAATTTTTGGTGCTTCTGGACAACCACAAAACTGATTGGTTTACAATGTTGTTATCTCTAAGGGAAAAGAGTGAAAACAACAGATTAATACTAATCTTTAATACAATATTTTTTCTTGAAATCCATTTAGTGAGTGATCCAAGGGCTACATTTTTAATACTAAACTTAAACCTCTTGTAAAGCAGATGGGGAGTAGTATGTTATTGTTTGTTAAAGCAGATGTTTAGTACTCCAAGTCACTTACTGAAATCCATGGGAACCTTTCCCCTGATATTTACCAGTACTGAGGTTTTATCAGGTCCTCTGAGCAGTTTTACTTTTATATGGTTTGATGGCAGCATTCTTGGGAAGAATGCTAAAAAGTGACAAACAAGTAGGTGAAGCCAGCACCCTGTCAGTAGCTAGCTTCTGCAGGTGCCCTGTAAATAAGCTGTGGGACACCTAGTGATCTGTGGGAACTAGTGGTTTGGGGATATTGCCTAATTGGTTGTAGTCTAAGCCTTTCATCCTTCTGCCAGAAGGATGTGCCAGATAATTTTAGATATGACTATATACGTTTATAGTTAGGTGGGGGGGGGGGGGGGGGAGGGTTTCTGTATACTTTTATAGTTATATACTTTTTTTCTTTGATTTTTTTTTTTTGGGATAGATACAAAGAAGGTCTCAGCAACACTAAAGAGATCCTAATGGAGCTGGGTCTGTTTCCTTCTGAAGAAGATTGTGTTGCTGTTCAGCATGTCAGCACCATTGTGTCATTCCGCTCAGCAAACCTCTGTGCTGCTGCCTTAGCGGCAATATTGACACGTCTTCGAGAAAATAAAAAGCTAATGAGACTGAGAACTACTGTTGGCATGGATGGAACTTTGTATAAAACACACCCTCAGTAAGTAAGCTTAGAGGAAGTCATGTACCTACTGTAACAGTCACCATTCTGGCTTTTAAAGAGATATAAATATATGCTTAGCCCATATATCTAGTACCACTTTCACTGTAATGCTAACTGGTGCAGAAGAGTTCTCAATGGTCTTATGGGTCATGATGGCAAGCAGTAAAAGAAGATATGTTTGTGTTTTGGGGAAACTGTTGATGTTGCTAGCTATGATATTATTTTGTCTGGGATATTCAGAAAATGTTAACAGCACTGGATCTAGGGGAAAAGGAGGAAGCTCACCAGAAGTCTTATCGAGCATTCACCTTCCTGTGACTACAGACAGAAGTGACATGTTGGAATTTTCAAGCTAATTTTTAGAAAGTAAAATTGGGATAGAATTGTGTCATTATGGAATTAAGTCACACGGTAGAGCACCATTCACTCCAAACTAGAGATGTGTTTAAGTTGAGAAGTTTGGTGTTAGGCAGAGGAGGGTCTGTTTTGCAAAGTTTGGATCAAAATCTACATCTACCATATTACAAAATGTAGAGTCTGATTGTCTCATGTTCTGGTGGAGGCTCGCCATGCTCTAACCCTTTTCCACTGTGTCACAGGGCTTTCCTTTTCCTCACTGTGCCGTTCCCATTTCCACACAACAGTGGAGCCATGTTTTCCCCATATTTATAGTAACAGAACTAATACTGTGGAAGTGTCTGGCCCATTCACCAGATGAGCTTCTGATGTTGCTTTTAGCAGATTCAGCTTTTCTTAACTGTCAAGTGTTGCATACACATGTGCTTATGTGTATGCACACACATGTATTCCACACAATATTTTGCAAGCATTTAAGAAAAATGATTTTTCTTCTAGATATGCCAAACGTCTGCATAAGGTTGTGAGGAGACTGGTCCCAAATTGTGACGTTCGATTTCTTCTCTCTGAGAGTGGCAGTGGGAAGGGGGCAGCGATGGTAACGGCAGTTGCATACAGACTAGCATCTCAGCGTAAGCAAATTGATGAGATTCTGGCATCTTTTAAACTCTCCAAGGAAAATCTTAGAGAAGTGAAAACTAAAATGAGGGCAGAACTAGAATATGGCCTGAAGAAAGAAACACAACCCAATGCCACAGTGAAAATGTTACCAACTTATGTCTGTGGAACACCAGATGGGACAGGTAGGTGCCTATGCAAATTATGAAAGAATATGAGGCTATGCAGGAAGGCTGGTCAGAAATTTTCCAGAGGAATATTTTGCTGTCATAAAATGTTAATAGATTTAAATGTTGCAGGGTAATCTGTTTTTGATGGAGTTCTGGTCAATATCTGGCAGTTCTTGAGGAAACCCTGTCTACTAGGTTTCTTGTCAACTTGCCTACGCTGGTCTCGGAAGTCTGTCTGCGAGTTTTTGGGGTGTCTGGAAGCATCTAGCGAGTATAACTTCAGTCTTCCAGGCATCTGGCTGTGGAGAAACTTGCTGCCTGAGTTTTCAAGGACTTTGGGGCAGCCTGCCCCACGTAGCCTTATGGGGAGATATGAAATGGATGCCCTGCTAACTTAATTTTCTTGGCAGCCTGAACATCCAGAATTGACAGATCTGGGGCAAGCTTCAAGGCAGGCTGCTTCAGTGTTAGGACTGAAAGGGCCAGGCTCTTACTCTGATTTTGATACTTGGCTGTCTGGAAGCTGTTGAAGCCATGGCTCACCTGGCTGGCTGCTAGGCTTTGGGCAGCTGTAGGAGGTTTATAAACATTTCATAGTTTCTAGGGTCGGAAGGGACCTGGGCAGATCATCTAGTCCGACCCCCTGCCATGGCAGGAAAGAGTACTGGGGGTCAAACGACCCCAGCAAGATGGTCATCTAACCTCCTCTTAAAACCCCCCAGGGTGGGAGCCTGCACCACCTCACTTGGAAGCTGGTTCCAGACCCTAGCCGCCCTGACCGTGAAGTAGCGCCTCCTGATGTCCAACTTAAACCTTCTCTCCGCCAGCTTGTGACCGTTATTCCTGGTCACTCCTGGCGGCGCTCGGGGGAACAGGGTCTCCCCCAGTGCCTGTTGATCCCCCCCTGACTAGTTTATAGCAGGCCACAAGATCCCCCCTCAGCCTTCTCTTCTGGAGGCTGAACAGGTTCAGGTCCTGTAACCTTTCCTCATAGGACCTGCCCTGCTGTCCCTTGATCATGTGAATGGCCCTCCTCTGGACCCTCTTGATGCTGTCCACATCTTTCAAACACATCCGTCTTTCAAACAGGTCAAAATGAAATTTTGAAATTCTTGTTCCATAGCAAATGTTCGATTTTTCATGTTTCATGCTGTTTAGGAATGAATACTTTTTTATTTCAGAATTTGTTACAGGACAGGAATTATAGTTCCTTAATCAAAGACTCTGCCACAGGGTATTTGTTATGCACTGACACTTCTTGGGAAGGTTACATATTCTGAATATGCATCTAATAGCATATTTTGACAAATATCTACTTGATTATTTAATTGATGGGTGTTTACCATTGTCTTTAAAAATAGTCAAAGAACATTTATTATATATGCTGTGGTAGTGTGTGTGTATATTTACACATGCATTTCAACTTCTTTTGCATATATGTGTGTGCAACTAGCCAAGGATCAGAAAGATAAGGAGGGAGGGTTAGACTTGATATTAGCACCAAGACCAATATTTTAAAGGAAGGAGTACTTAAAGCTAGTACCCTGAATTCATGTTTAGGTCTTCTAAAAAATGTGGCTCGATTTCCATTTTCTTTTTTTTTTTTTTTTCCCCCCACCTGTCCCCCTCTTTCCTCCCCTTACTCAAATACTGAGTACCTGGCAATTGCCATTGACTTCCACCTGAGTTTTCCAACCTAAAAATAATAGTATAGCATGTCATTGCCTGAGACAGTATTTCTTTGTGGTTGTTTAATGTCATGTGGTATTTAAAATGCTCAAAGTAACAAGTGTGCTTTAACTATTGGACTATTCTAGGATTATGTTTTTTTTTTTTTTTTTTTTTCATTTTTTCTATTACAGAAAAAGGAAAATTTCTTTCACTTGATCTTGGTGGAACAAATTTCAGAGTTCTGCTTGTGAAAATTAGAAGTGGAAGAAGAAAATCTGTGAGGATGTACAATAAAATCTTTGCCATTCCTCTGGAAATCATGCAAGGAACAGGAGAAGAGGTAATGTCCATACCAATATTGAGCTATCCAAATGGATCACTCTTCATTAAATGTATATAGGTTTTACCTGTTGTCTCTGTTCTTTCAGCTCTTTGATCACATTGTCCAGTGCATAGCAGATTTTTTGGAGTACATGGGAATTAAGGGTGCTCGACTTCCTTTGGGCTTTACGTTCTCTTTCCCCTGCAGGCAAGCTAGTATTGATAAGGTAAGGACTGCAACAGAAATAAGAGTTGCATGGCTATACTAGGTCTGATTCCTATTAGAAAACTGCTACATCAGTTTGTTGTTGTTTTAAATTGTTTTAAAATTATTCCCTGTTCAGATGTTTAACACACACCTTTCTTTTTAATACCTTTCAAAATGCATTTTTCTTACAAGTAAGGATTTCCAAGCTTTTAAATAAACTTTTAGTAAAATGTTCTGATTTATGAATGCTCCTATGTAAAATACAGAGACACTATTTTGTTTCATGCTAAATATTCCCTTACTCTGCATTTTGATTTATTATACTTGAATACTACCCTCCATGACAAAGGGTGGCAAAATTTGGCTTATAACGAGTGGAGACAAAGACAGAGCTTGTGAAGGATGCAGTCTTTCATCTTAGAAAAGTGAACCCTGCAGATTTTTAAATGGTCAGGTATCTCATTCTTATTTGCACTTTTTTATTATTCTAAGAGACACTGATCCCCTAATACTTTGCTGAAGTATTATATAGACCAAATACATCTGCAATGAGTATATAATTTCACTCCATATTTCACTTGTTACGATGCACCACAGGTTAGAGCTGAGCTGTGCTGTTCACATCTAAGGGCTTATATCTGAATTTTGTTCTGTTAATCAGGCATATCCAATGTTCCTGGATGTGTCCTCTCCCTACATGCTCTGATTTACACTTAAGGCTTCTCTACATTACCCTGCTCACTTGGTCCTCCTTAGCATGTGACAGTGACCAAAATGAAGCAATGTAGCTGCTGTAGACCAATGCTGAGCACATGCCCAAAGCCACTCTTGAGCTGCTAAAAGTTCCTTTAAGAGAACCACATTGCTTTATTTCTGGGATTTGGTGTGTGAGGAATGTGGGTGAGGTGCTCATCATAGCCACACTCTAGGACTCTGAATGGAGGTAGGGTAGACAAGCCCCTAAGGCTGTGTAAAACTTTAAAAAGCCTCCATATTTAAAAGTTATTTTAAATGTACTACTAAAAAATTGGAAGTTTCTCATAGGCCTTGACTATAACCAAGAGCACTTTCAATTAAAAGACAAATTAAAATTACTGAGTAATTGAAAAATAAAAGCAAAAACCATAATGATAGTACAGATTTATAGAATCTGTAAGGACCAGTTTGTTTTGGATTTTCCTGTCACAAGAATTTTCTGTCTTAAAACAAGAATAAAGAACAGGTATGATCCCAGCATTGTTCTAATGCTGTCTTTGGTTTATGTTTTAAGCTTGGTGTTTGGTTTTATCTATCAAATAAATCACTTGGTAGTGTAAGAATCTTCAAGTATCTTTTATCAAATGATTTGAAGCTTTGCAATAGAAATTTATTGACACTGACTCATGATTATTTAGAGTAAATACAATTTTTGCCATAGTTCATTTGCAAATGATAGAACCAGTGCTGCCCTGTAGTGATGGATGTGGGAAGGGAATGCCTCTGCATGAAGTAGAGAGAATACTTCAGCTTGTGCTGCCATTGTATTGATAGTTACTTCATAAATAAACCATGGATTAAAGCTGCCAACAGCTGAGTGGCATAGTTTCCTTGTAGCAGTTGAGCCTTGAGCACAGCAGCATTTGTCAGATCATCTAGAAGGTATATTTGAAACTGCAGTTGTTTGGCTAGAAATATGCATTTTACATTAAAAAAATACACACAAAAAAACCATCGCTATGTTAAAAGGAGGTTAAAGTGCACCCAAAGTGCAAAGTCAAGTACTCAAATTGAAATATTCCAGAATTAAATTTCCTGGGACACCTGATTTCAGGTCCCTTGTTCACACACATCTTTGAAACACTCTTTAGTTACTATGTGTTTATTTCTCTACTGGACCCCTGTTTCATTCAGTACACAGAATGCCTATCCATTTACATTGGTCGTTTTTGGTGCTGTTTTGTTACAGGGAACACTAGTGGGGTGGACAAAAGGTTTTAAGGCAACAGACTGTGAAGGGGAGGATGTTGTTGACATGTTAAGAGAAGCTATTAAACGAAGAAATGTAAGTAATTGTGTTTCTGTTGATTTGGTTTGTTAAAGCAACTCCCTCCTTCCCTTCCCCACCCCTTTTAAATGAGGTGATTTCTGTTGCAGGAGTTTGACCTGGATATTGTAGCAGTGGTAAACGACACCGTTGGGACAATGATGACATGTGGCTATGAGGATCCAAACTGTGAAATTGGCCTTATTGCAGGTAAATTATTTGTTAGTACAATTACCGTTTAAATGAAAGCCAACTACCTGTGTGGATCTTGGTTTCTACCAGAGAAAATCCTACTATTCAAAGAAGCAGATGAAATTCTACATTTAATAAGAATCACTAATATTTGGTGAGTTTGAGCCAGCTTGTTAACTCAGTGGTAATTGCCTGTACTGGGATACAAGAAACTGGGCTTAGTTAATTCTCAATCAGTGTAGCACTGAATACTGCTATAGGAAATGTGACATGTTTTAGAATCTCCTCTCTCCTTGTAGAGAATCTAAAGCTACAATTTTGATAGATAAATATGGACACATTGGCATAAGATGAACAAAATATGGCTGACCAAATAGAGAACTATTTTACCAGTGTGGGCTGACTAATTTGCAAAATATGATGCAAACATCAACTGCATAATATTTGGCTACTTATTCCATAACTCACCTTCCAACATTCTTTTAATAAGACTTGCAAATAAGGCATTATTATAATAGAGCTCTGCTCCTCTTAACATGGCATATTAAGTGGGAAAGCTGCTTCAGTTTTGAATGTTTGTGGCTTTCTTCGAACAGCTAGCAGAACAGCTAGCTAGTTTCTCAGTCACAAGCCCTGGTTCTCATGGGGGACTTCAGTTGCCCTGACAACTCCTGGGAGGGCAACACAGTAGTGCTCCGGCAATCCAAGAAGTTTTTGGAGAGTATTGGGGACAATTTCCTGGTGCAAGTGTTGAAGCAGCCAACTAGGGGCCATGCACTTCTTGACTTGCTGCTCATCAAATGGAAGAATTGGTAGGGAATGTAGTAGTGGATGGCAACTTGGGCAGCAGTGACCATGAGATGATTGGGTTCAGGATCCTGAGGAAAGGAATGATAGAGAGCAGTAGAGTAAAGACCCTGGACTTCAGAAAAACAGACTTTGACTCACTCGGGGAACTCATGGGCAGGATCCCCTGCGAAGCCAGACTGAGGGGGGAGAGGAGTCCAGGAGAGTTAACTGCACTTCAAAGAAACCTTACTGAGAGTGCAGGAACAAATCATCCCAACGCGCAGGAAAACTAGCAAGTATGGCAGAAGACCAGCTTGGTTTAGCAGGGATCTCTTCAGTAAACTAAACCACAAAAAGAAAGCTTATAAGAAGTGGAAAGTTGGATAAAAAACTAGGGAGAAGTGTAAGAGTATTGCTTGGGCATGCAGGGATGAAGTTAGGAAGGGCAAAGTGCAATTAGAGTTGCAGCTAGCAAGGGATGTGAATGGTAACAGGAAGGGCTTCTACAAGTATGTCAGCAACAAGAGGAAGATCAGAGAAAGTGTGAGTCCCTTACTAAATGGGGGAGGAAACCTAGTGACAGAGGATGCAGAAAAAGCTGGAAACTTAGGCAAATAACTAGGGAAGAATATAAGAGCATTGCTCAAGCATGCAGGGATGAAGTCAGGAAGGCCAAAGTGCAATTGGAGTTGCAGCTAGCAGGGAATGTGAAGGGTAACAAGAATGGTTTCTACAAGTATGTCGGTAGCAAGAGGAGGATCAGGGAAAGTGTGGGTCCCTTACTGAATGGCGGAGGCAACCTTGTGACAGAGGTTGCAGGAAAGGCTAAAGTGCTCAATGCCTTTTTGCCTCTGTCTTCACAGGCAAGGTCAGCTCCCAGACTACTGCACCGAGCACCACAGTTTGGGGAGGAGGTGAGCAGCCACCAGTGGTGAAAGAACAGATTAGGGACTATTTAGAAAAGCTGGATGTGTAGAAGTCCATGGGGCCAGATGGGATGCACCTGAGGGTGCTGAGGGAGTTGGCCGATGTGATTGCAGAGCCTCTGGCCAACATTTTTGAAAACTCATGGTGATCAGGAGAGGTCCGAGATGATTGGAAAAGGGCAAACTGTGCCCATATTTAAGAAAGAGAAAAAGTAGTATTCAGGAAACTACAGACTAGTCAGCCTCACCTCAGTCCCTGGAAAAATCATGGAGCAGATCCTCAAGGAATCCATTTCTAAGCACTTGGAGGAGAAAAAGTTGGTAAGGAACAGTCAGCATGGATTCACCAGGACAAGTCATGCCTGAACAACCTGGTTGCCTTCTATGATGAGGTGACTGGCTCTGTGAATGAGAGGAGACAAGAGGATGTGGTGTACCTTGATTTTAACAAGGCTTTTGATATGGTCTCCTACAGCATTCTTGCAGGCAAGCTAAGGAAGTATGGGCTGGATGAGTGGACTGTCAGGTGAATAGAAAACTGGCTGGAGCATCAGGCTCAGAGGGCCATAATCAATGGTTTGATTTCTAGTTGGCAGTCAGTATCAAGTGGAGTCCCCAGGGGTTGGTTCTGGGGTGGGTTTTGTTCCATGTCTTCATTAATGACCTGAAAGATGGGATGGAGTGCAAATCTCAGCAAGTTTGCAGATGACACCAAGCTGGGGGGAGTAGTAGATAAACTAGAGGGCAGGGCTAGGATTCAGAGTGACCTAACAAATTGGAGGATTGGGCCAAAAGAAATCTCATGAGGCTCAACAAGGAGAAGTGTGAAGTCCTGCACTTAGGACACAACAATTCCATGCACCAGTACAGGCTGGGGGCTGATTGGCTGGGTAGCAGTTCTTCAGAAAAGGACCTGGGGGTTACAGTGAACAATAAGCTGAATATGAGCCAGCAGTGTGCCATTATTGCCAAGAAGGCTAATGGCATACTGAGCTGAGTTGGTAGGTGTGTTGCCAGTTGGTCAAGGGAAGTGATTATTCCCCTCTATTCAGCACTGGTGAGGCCACCTCTGGAGCACTGTGTTCAGTTTTGCTCCCCCCCCCATAGAAAAGATGTGGACAAATTGGAGAGAGTTCAGCAGAAAGCAACAAAAATGGTGAGGGGGCTGGGGGACATGACTTATGAGGAAAGACTGAGGGAACTGGGCTTATTTAGTCTAGAGAAGAGAAGACTGAGAAGGGATTTGATAGCAGCCTTCAACTACCTGAAGGGTTGTTCCAAAGAGGATGGAGCTAGACTGTTCTCAGTGGCAGCAGATGACAGAGCAAGGAGCAACAGTGTCAAGTTGCAGCAGGGAAGTTTAGGTTAGATATTAGGAAGCATTTTCTCACTAGGAGGGTAGTAAAACACTGGAACAGGTTCCCCAGAGATGTGGTAGAAGCTCCATCCTTTGACGTTTTCAAAGTCAAGCTAGACAAAGCTTTGGCTGGGATGATCTAGTAGGGGATGGTTCTGCTTTGAGCAGGGGGTTGGACTAGATGACCTCCTGAGATCCTTTCCAACCCTGACGTTCTATGGTTCAGTGTTCCAAATAAGTAGAAGATTCTACTGGAGAAATTATTTGTTGAAACTGACTTCTATTAAGATCTGGGGATATCTTTGTAGTTTGGAATCTGGAGAACTAACATTTAAGTATTGCACAGAATAGGTACCATGCATTTCCCCTATGCTTTTCAACTCCTTTACACTCCTGTGACCGAAACCTTGCTGTTTTCTTTTAGGAACAGGCAGCAATGTGTGTTATATGGAAGATATGAAGAATATAGAAGTTGTGGAAGGGAATGAAGGAAAAATGTGTATTAACACAGAGTGGGGAGGTTTTGGTGACAATGGGTGCATTGATAATATCAGAACAAAATATGACAAAGAAGTGGATGAAGGTTCATTAAATCCTGGGAAACAAAGGTAAAGCTGATAGTATTGTCTTTAAGCTATGGATAACCTAATTCATCTTCTTTGAACTAGGCTGGCTAGCTTTCTGTTTACCCTATTTTAAGAAAAGTCATTACAAAATTAGTAAATTGTACGGTTCTCCCTGATTCTATATGTTAGGGCTTTTTATTTCTGTCACTACAGCAACAATAACTTGCAAAACAGCAAACCTCAGGCATACACATCATCACTGTATGTTCCTCTTCCTATACTGTTTCATTTAGCTTGTTGGTAGGTTAAAATACTAATTTCTGAATATTTTCTGTATAAGATTAATTATGACAGTTTTGTGTTAATGCCCTCTACTCCCTTCCTTTTCTGCCACCTCCCTGCAAACCTACAAATCCTGTAAGAAATGAATTAAGGAGGCTGGGTTTTGGTTTGATTGTAGGTGCCAATTTATATGAATCACCAAAGTTTGCAGGTAGGGAAGGTTTGGTAAAAATGTTCTAGTTTTGTGTGATCCCTGGTTTTAAATGCTATTTTGCATTTAATATTGTGTATTTATATACTTTCATAATTTTTTAATATGTGAAATATTGCAACTAGTATTTGCATTTGACATTATACCAGATACATGTATTATGGCCAAACAGCACTGAGTTCAGATAATGGAATACTTTATTTCTGAATGCTTTTAGGAAGTTGTTTAAGCACACAGCATAAATCATACTAAAACACTGACTTGCCATCTATTTTTAAAAATGTTTTTGTAAAATAGATATGAAAAAATGACCAGTGGAATGTATTTGGGTGAAATAGTGAGGCAAATTCTGATCGACTTAACAAAGCATGGACTTCTGTTTAGAGGTCAGATTTCAGAGACGCTCAGGACAAGAGGAATATTTGAAACAAAATTCCTGTCTCAGATTGAAAGGTAAATTAATTCATTATATCTTTGTGGTTCCTGTTTTTTAATTGCCATCTGCTTTTGTGAATATAGGTAGATTACAGTGAGGCAGTGACAATTACCAGCTTAAATGTTAAAGTTCTTACTCAGGACAGTGCTCTTGTTCAACTCGATGGAACTTTGGATAAAAGTAACCACTGTAAAGTTATCCATTTCAATCTTCAAACTTTTTTACACTTAAATGGCTTCCAATTTGAACTTTACAAGAACATAAGAATGCTGATACAGTGACATCCAGTCACACAACTTTTATACTGGGAGAATAGTTGAGATGCTGGTCCAGTGATTCTCAACCAGGGTGTCACAGCTAGTCCAGGGACAACAGTGAATCCGTTCCCAATCAGTGATATCCTTGGAAAAATTTAAGTCTGTCTGCATCCAAACGAAGTTACTTTTCAGCATAAATTCTATGTCAAATATTACTCATTTTAAATCGAAACTCAGGCCCACAGTGATCATCTAAGTGACTGTCCTGGCTTTCATGAAGACTTTCATGCCTGGCCCTGAATTCTTTGTGCTATTAGACAAGCCTCCCTTTCAAAAAAAGGTAGAACATTTTCTGTTAGAGAGGCCTATTACATTCTAAATAAAGAAAATGGGGAATTCCGTAATGTTTCTGTAACAATTGAGTGGTTACCCCTGTTCCATCCAACAATGACACCCTGGGTATTCTAGCATCATGAACCTTTCTAGCACGTTACTCAAAAACTTCAGTGAGGCCCTTAAAATACTACTTACTAGTATTAAGTACTGGAGTATTAAAAACTCTAGAGTGTGAGTATGCAGGAGGATGTGTATTTGTTTTTTCAGTAACTTTTATAGACAGTGAAAAATAAGGTGGCTGTCTTGTGATCCATTAGGAGGAGATTTTTTCAATGGCACAAATGGTAGGAGGGGCATAAGTCTGCTTGACTTTCAAGGAGAATTAGGTGCTCAACTACTCTGCGCCTTTGAAAATCTACCCCATCACAACAGAAACAAAACTTGGGTGTGGGGCTGCATGAGAATAAATGTGTTAAAATGTGTCTCTGAGAATTCAGTTTCATTTGTAAGACTGAAAATCCTGAAGTGTGTATAGTATCCCCTAACTGTAAGCTGTTGTTTGTGTTTGCATGAACACAGTGACCGGCTAGCTCTTCTTCAGGTCAGAAGAATTCTGCAGCAACTTGGACTGGACAGCACTTGTGACGACAGCATTATTGTGAAGGAGGTGTGTGGTGCTGTTTCAAGGAGAGCAGCCCAACTCTGTGGGGCAGGACTGGCTGCGGTAGTAGAGAAGAAGAGAGAAAACAGAGGTGTAGAGCACTTGAAAATCACTGTTGGAGTGGATGGGACTTTATACAAGTTACATCCACAGTGAGTACCCTGTGTCTACTTTCATTAGTTCTGGCTTAATTCTGACCAGGATTCAGTATTCTGTTTTGATGATAGACAGTGAAAGAATACCACCCAGAAATGATCATGTATTCCTGAAGCTGACACTGCTTTTGCTTGGATTTAGGGTTGAAAAAAATTGAAAACAGACAATCCAATGCAGAACCTTTCTGTATTGTGCTTTTATTCAAAACTGCCAGGTTGAGGAAAGGGAAACTTATTGTTTTGTGATTGTTGCTCCTGAGTTAAACATAAGAGGTGATTTTAGTCTTGTAGGAAACTACACATGATTTCTTTCTTTAGTTATATGTATTTGGAGACTGTACTAAATCTTTTACATGCCTGGTGTAAGGGCTTGGTGCCAAGAGCTAATTTAATGTCAATGTCAATGTTAAATGTTTAATGTCAGCTCGTGCATTTACAGAAAGCAAGCACTATTGCTGTATTTAGCAAGCAAACTGGTATACCCTGGCTAAGCAAACAGTTTGTCACTTTTTGGTTCATTTAACAATCCTAGGCCCCTTTACATTTCCTTTTTATGGTCTTTTGAATGTTTAAAATGTATTAAAATTCCAGCTGCATTGTTTTCTCAAATTGAAAGCTGCTATTGGTGGGTTAAACTGAAGTGGGATTCAACAACATTGAATGTAAGAATTGTTCTCGGTGGTGGCAGATGACAGAACAAAGAGCAACGGTGTCAAGTTGCTTGCAGCAAGGGAAGTTTAGGTTGGATATTAGGAAGGATTTTCACACTAGGAGGGTAGTAAAACACTGGACCAGGTTCCCCAGAGATGTGGTAGAAGCTCCATCTCAACATCCATTCATAAACATGATGTAGCTTGTCCCACTTCTGTTCTAGCTGCCCATGCAGCTCTGCCAGGCTTTCCTTAGCGCAGCTGGGGAGTCTGTGAAATAGGAATCACTGAAAGGAGTGAGGTGTTCTTCCTTTTTCTGTTCCTTACCTCATTGTGATCACAGTTTATGCTCCTCTCAGGGGATCCCTTCAGTTGGAAACATGACAGATTGGCCAACTATGCTGTACTTTAAACTAGCACTCATTTAACCATAATTCATATAAACATCAATAACACCATGCTTCATGCTGCCTACTCTAGAACAGCTTATAACAGATCTATACTCTGATGGATGTCTCCAGTGACATAACCAACTGCTCCTCTAGTGTAGTGAAAAATGCACAAAGCATAGTGCAGCCTTCACGGAGGCACTCGGTATTATTCCTGGACTATTTGAATAATCAGCATGGAGTCAGGCCGCATATTTATCCAGGTGTATCGTTAAGCCCTTCTGCCCCCTATTAAACTCTACTGGTTGCCCTGAGGGCAAAACAAAAATCTTCTGCAAAGGGGAGACTTCATGCTGAAAACCTCTGTCCTGGAAGAAGCCTTTTACTGGTTCAAAATGAACTTATTGGATCTTGAACTTGTCAATGATGGTTTTAGCCAAATCTTTCCCAAAGAGGTGTGTGGCTTTGTTGAAAAGGGATGTCATGTAGGTTTTTGAAGTTGCATCTATGTTGCACAAATAAGATCTAGCCATGGTAGAGGAAGACGTAGAATTAGCTACCAGTGTAGGTACCTGAGAAGACCTTCCATATGGAAGAGAGATTGCCTGTCATCCATAACAGCTTCTAAAGCAGGGGGCTTCTCTGACATCACAATGGAAGAACTGAAGGTAGGAAAACAGCAAATAAAAATGATAGAAAGAATGGGGAAGGTTTCCTGCTTTTATTGTGCGGCTAAAATGTTTCCTAATTAGCATCAGTTCTTTACACGTTTTTATATGGAGGCACTTTTAGTTGTTACTTCTCAACTGTCTAAGCTTAAACATAGGATTAAGAATCTTTCCATAGTTTTAACTTTTCTTTCACTATCCCTTCTTCCTTTCTCTTCGCCTTTCCCCGTTTTTAATTCTGAATAGCCTTCAGTATACATTCTTGCACTCTATTTCCTATTAGCACTATAATCAGAATCACTGGGATTGAAGAAGCCATCACTCCTTATTTATTTAAAAAAACACTTCAGTAAGTTGGCCTAGCAAGTGTCTGAACTTCTGTGCTCGCTGTTGCACCATGTGGAACAGGCAGACTCCGGAAATGTACAACAAGTGTAATGGCACAGATAGCATGAGTCTGTTAGTTCCACCAAAGGCTGTACATTTTCTTAATACGAAGGAACCCTGTGTTACCTCCTGCTGCTTGTTGGAGAGAGTCATTAGAATGAATGCTTCCCCTTTCTTCAAACTTCTTTAAAAGCCAGAAGGCTTTAGGAAGGATAAAAGTGAAGTATGATCCCTCAGAAAAAATGGGTCAATCCTTTCACCTTCTTATTGGATTCAGGAATTTGTTTCTGTGTCCTGTTGGTGACTAAATATATTGAAGGGAAAAGGAAAGGAAGGACCAATGGAAGATGACACTGATTGATTGGGCTGTTTGGTTTGGTTTGACTTCTTGTTTGTAAGCAAGTATACATAATATAATGAATACAAATAATTACTGCATACATTACAAAATGGTTGGTAAAGTGCTTTTTTTTTTTTTTTTACTTTAAGTTTTTCTAGGATCTTACGGGAAATGGTGAAAGAGCTGGCACCTCAGTGTGACGTGACTTTTATGCTGTCTGAAGATGGGAGTGGGAAGGGAGCTGCCCTCATTACTGCTGTTGCAAAAAGATTGCATAGTATTGGAGAAAATTAAAGGAAAGTCATGTTTAATTAGACCTGTACATGTGTATTAGAGACTGGCTGAATGATCACACAAAATAACTTGGCCACAGACCAATAGGAAGCACCTGTTATTTTGGTAGCAGCCAAACTTTGAACAGTCATTAATGTTGCTATAATTTGGTTTGTGCGTTTCTGTTGATAGTTTGCACTATGTTGGGATACAGCAAAAATAGTCAGCATTTCAATATCGCATAATACAATACCACAAGCCATATTAATGTAATATTTTTCCAAACTCATTTTCAAAATGCTAAAACCACTGCTCCCACAAATGTTACCATGTTGTGAATTTTCCATTGCTTTTCAGTATTATTATTCCTTTAATCATTGCATGGTCTGACTCAGTGGATATCAAGATCTTAGTGTAGCACATCTCTAGTAAGCATGTTTCTTCTGTGTTCCAGTATATTTTATAATACATCTGTAAAATGGAATAAATTAATGGACCTTTTTATATTAAAGTTGTATTACTTTTTTTCATTATATTGTTTATAAAACTGCACTTACATTGGACATGGTTAGCAGCTGGGTGTAATGGACAAAAGCAGATTCCTCAAAATATATTTAATGCATAAGTAAGGCGGATGACAAAACTGGTGCACCTGCTGCGTACATTGGCAGATGGTCATTTTATACAGTATCTTTCTGTGAGAAATAGGCAGCAATGTGTGGCAATTTCCAGATGCCCAGAAAATAATCAGCATGTTGGGGTGTGACTGAAAAATTGCATCCTGATTTAGTAATTCCAAAATGAGAGTTGTGGAACGATAGTATGACACAAAAGGAGAATATCTGTTCCACACTCAGTTACTTCCCTGTTCTTTTACTACTCCTTTCACATACATTCCTGTGCCATTGAGCTGGGAATAGGGCACTGGGCTGTAACAGACATGGTATAGGACCTTGGATGTGTCAGTAATGACTGTCATGCACTGTATTAAATAATTGGCTTTGTGCTAACGGTAATAGAAAGTCTGAAGTAAGATTGAAGAGTTAAATTTAGCACCAGTGAATTCAGTTTTAAGGTATATGCCTGATTTATATTTTCACTGGGAATATATGATGAAATTATAGAATGTATGAAAAAATAAAAAGTTCAAAATTGTTTTCTGGGTTTGTTTTTTTTTACTTGCTAAAGCTTTCTTTGTATTTGAGGTAACTGGAGAGAGTAATTAAGAAGGGACTAGTTACGTAATCACTGCAAGCAGGCAAAAGTGAGTTTACATTTATTTTTCTCAGAGGCACACGTGGACAGCATTGTGCTCTGGCCAGTGGTGGTGCTGTGCTGTTGGTGCCAGTGGCTTAGCCAGCTTCCAGCTATGGTGGCTATTTTGCATCTTCTCCCCCCCAGTAAAAGGTGGCACCTAATGCTGCTGTCTCAGTCTCTCCATCCCAGTTACACTACTTGTTTTCATTAAAGTTTCTTCAGATTTAGTAATACCACTTGAACAGATTGTCACAGGAAATAGTCTCATCAAAGAAAATGAAACTTCCTAAATAAAATAACAAGTTTGAATGATCTTTTTCCAAGTCAAAAAGCAGCCTAAATCCTGTGGTGATGAGGGTCTTAGAAGGGTATGAGGGGTTGGCTAATTCCAGAAATAGACTGAAACAGCAGTTTCACATGAACTTCCTATATAGGCAATCTTCATTCTACGTTAAAGGTATCTTTCTAGTCCACTTTGGAAGTGAGTAACCTGAACTGCAAAAATACATTAGTGCAGAATAAGAAGTGTCCACATGGGGAGGGCGGGGAAGAAGTGTGAAATAGCCATTGCCTCTTAAATTCATCCTTTGGTTTATTTTGCCATAGAATCCCTACATAGACAACATCTGCTGGCTCAACAGTATCCTGATTACATGTGAAAAATAGGATGAATCTTGGATTTTAATTAGTTTTGTATCCAAATACCAGTAGTTTGCAGGCTATTGAAGTTAGAGCAAAGGCTTAATACCTGTGAAAAAGAGATGGCCACAGCTACCAAATTCTGATGCCTTACTGCTCCCAGAGACGAAGGAAGGAACACTGCTGCCACTGTTAGGGAGAGTATTATCATATTGACCTGGCAATACTGGGACCTAGTAATTTGGCTAGAAGGTCCTGTAAGGTCCCCTATGCAAACAAGGGCTTCAACTAGTGTTTATGCCCCAGAGTGAAAAGAATACTTTTGTGAGAAGTAGTGTGTGTTCTGGGCCATGTATACTGGCCCCAAAATGCAGAGGATGTCTGGTTACCGCTGGAAAAAGAAGGTACTGGGTTCCTACCACCCTGTTGGGGGAGAGATTCTATACATTTCCCGGAGAGGTGAGTATGATGTATTGGTAGATGGTGCAAATTCTGCAGGCTCTAAGAATTTTATAGAGCTGCTGTTTTATTTTGATAACATTGATTTCATTAAAATATGTAGACTATAAATGTTTTTTTTTCTGTAAAATGACCCATATTTTATATCTATTTTAAGAGCAGACAATCTGTCCAATTCTTTAAAGACGTTGCTAAAGATATGTATTCTGGCAGCGGCATGCTACTTTGTGGAACCAGGGTCTAAAGGTTGTTCTACACCAGTGCTTCTCAACTAGGATGCTGCAGCACCCAGGACTGCCATGAAATCACTTCAAGAGTGCCAGAAGCCAAGCACTGTTAGATGAGTAACACCTATGCTTGATTCTCAAGATAAACTCCAAAATTTCAAATGGGAATCCACAGTGTAAAAACACTGACCTGTTATGATCTTTGAGTTCTCAGTAATAGAAGAATTTCTCTATTACTGGTATTTTTCCAGTGAAGAAATGAGTAGAATAGCTGGTATTTTCTGAAGGGTGCCTTGAGTCTAAAAAGGTTGAGGACCACTAATCTACACATCTGGGGGCTATTACAGTTTAGTTAATACAGGGGGTTTGGAGCAATTTAATTCTTTAACTTTAGGTTAAGAATATCCAATTCTGCTTTAGCTTAAGTCTTTCTGGAAAATAAAGTATTTGGAGCAAAACAACTTATACCTCACCCACAGATTATTCTTTTCAGCAACAAGCTAGGCCAATTTGCATTGTGGGTGTTATGGAATCTGATTACATGATCATAAAATGCTGCACACAAAGTAAATGTGAATCATTGTATGAGGATATTTTAAAAAGCCAAGGGCATTGTTTTAGTCCACATTTATTCGAAACTTAATGTAAGCAATCAGAAAACAGTGAATTCAAGCACAACTTGTACAGATACATTTAACACATCAGTAGAACAATGAGATGTTATGGAAGCAGTGGAGGCTGCTAATTTGTGAAAGAAGGTGAGAAGGCATGGGTTAGTTCCTCCTTAGCTACAGGGAGCTGAGTTAGTACTTCTGTTAATTTCCCAGAATGTTGGTTAGTATTTAGAATCTGTATGTTGTCACGCTCGGCTTTGTCTACAACATTTGTGTTCCTCTAAATAGCTAATGAAATATTACATAATTCATGATAATGCAAACATAAATCATGCACAGAATGTTACAAGCTTGCGGTTTCACATGTGCATATTTTAAGCAGTAGCACTAGATCCTTTTTATGCATGTCATACATGGCCTGGCATTCTTTTAGCTAGGATTCTAAGAATAAAAATGTCAGATGTTACCCAATATATAGTTCACTGAAAAAAAAATACAGATTAGGTATAGAACTGATAGTGTGCGCATGGCAACAGTCTTTAAATAAAATGACACACTTCAATTGGTATATTTTGTGGCTTATTTGCACTTTCTTTTTTCCATATTTTTGTGATGGTGTCTTGTATTGTTTTCTTTAATGCAGCTTCCTTCCAATTAATAAAGTCTTAATGGTTTCTGAAACTGACTTTTTTTTTTATTTTTCTTGAATATGGGAAAACTGGAAAAGATCTAAGTTTATGGGCTAACAGCAGAAGGTTGGATGAGTTCTAAATCACAGGCTTAATGTAAACTGGATGATCATAATTAAGCCTTCAGACCTTGGTATATATAGCTCTAAAAGAAAGTTTCATCTAGTGGCCTTCTCTCTGTTGAATCTAGGTTTGTTGGCTTCAGAAGGTTTATTATAGCACTTGCTCCTGATTTTTATTTACTTTGAAATCCAGAGTAAATGATAAAACAGTTTACTATTGAGGTGTTTCCCTTATGTCACTATGGTAAGGTTGACAAATAGGTATAAGATCACTTGTAAATCTTTCAGAAATCCCTGATTACTGAAACTCTGAATGGCCTTTTATGATAACTTTGTTTTACTTAAGGTGAGAGGAACAGTGTCAAAGTTTAGGGCCCCAAAATCAAATACAAGAAAAATGTTTTTTTCATTATTTGTTTTTTTTATACTTCAAATTTGGGGGGTGATTTAAACGTTCTCAGGTAGTGCTAGGAGCCCAAACGGGGCAGCAATGTGTCGGTGTATAGGAACAAGACAGGAGAGAGAGAGAGAGAGAGAGATTGCAAGCAAGAGTTAAGGGAGGCAGAGAATTAGCTGTCTTGAGTTATGTTTATGCTACTTTTCAAAGGGACTGTTTTTCCACTGTCTTGTCAGTTGTGCAGTTTGTGTAGCTGTTAACACCTATGCTAAATAAATGCAATATTGGTAGATAGTGCTTCCTCTAGAGCAGGTAAGTGGAAGATTCTAATGTATTTTATATTGTAATTTATATATGTAAGTGACTAAAGTGTAAGGAAGTGGGAGAATACCACTTTATTGAATACCATGGTAGATGTCCTTTATAAAGTTTAAGTTGACGTTAACTGTCGTTAAGTTGACAACAGTGAATGTAGTTCCAATGTAAGTAGTGTGCAGTAAATTAAATAAAAAAATGAAATAGTCTAAGCTTCAGTGACATTGGTAACAGGCTTTCTATTTAGTTCTGCTTTTAATCTTAGCTATTTAAGATCCCACCTCTCACACTGTTCTATTTAATTTTGCAATTCATGCCACATAGCACCCAACCCCACTTCTGCATGCCAGCACCCTGGTATAACAATGAGAACGCTTGCTTATCTGCTTCATGCAGTCCAAAATCTTTTTGAGACACTCTTCACATAATATGTGATGGTTCATGAAACCCACAGCAGCTGTTGAAGATATTTGACCAAGGATATAGATTTTTCTACAAAACCAAGCCTTCAGTGGAAAAATAGATAAAGCCTTCAGAACAAAATGCAGGGTCTTGCCTGGGACCTATAGGCAAGGTACAGAACAGGTGCTGCTTTGAATAAGTGAAATTGATCCAGCCGTCACTTGTAAGACGTTCTGAAAAGCCTAATTGTTACTTCAAACATTCTATTGTCTTTGTTTATAAGCATATATGCCCATAGTAAAATGTTTAAAGCTGCTATAGTAATTCAAAGGGTAGTTGTGAATAGTGTCAATACATAAGTGAGAGATGCTACTTGATTTTGAATCTACAGTATGTTGCTGTTTTAACATTTTTCTCTTGGATTCCTGTTCTCCCTCCCTGATTTTATTTCTCATTTTCAAAAGGTCCATGATTAAATTGCACTATCCCTCAGGAAATCTATAGATATTAAAAAGTGTAACAAACATAGAGTGGGGTAGGATCAGTTATTCGGTCTAAACATTGTAAAGATCAGGGGAGCTGTTAATTTACTCTAGAAAATATCAAGCAGTCAGCTATCACAGTTATACAAATGCTTTGCTAGAAGGTCTTAAGACTAGAATTCTTACACAGGTAATATTATGAATTTCAAGGAAACATAATACCTTAAATTCTGAGGACCTTTTCCTCCTTTTTTATATTAACTGAGCAGGAAGCAAGAGGAAAAATGTCTTCATAGATATCACCACTATACTTGAAATCCTGTTCTTTCTTCCCTAGTTAGGAATTGAATGTTCATATTTGTAGAGAGAAGTTAAACAAATCTTAAATAGAGGAAAATTGACTGCAGAAAAGATTTCTTTTGTGCATGGAAGATGGAAGTTGTTTGGAGAAGATGGCGGTGATTAAGTGGAGAGAGAAATAAAAGTTTAAGGCTTAATGTCTTTAAATAGTAAATAGTGGTAAATGGGTTTAATTTATGTACTTGTATAGAAGAGTG